CGTACCACAGAGGGGCCACCTCTGTTCTCTGGGGTACCTACAAGACCACACGTTCTCACCAAGTTGCACAAGAAAGCAAGACGGCTGATATCAATCCCACCTCTTTCTTGTAACCCCAGACACTGTCAGGATCCCTGATGGGCTGTCCCTCAGAGGGTTGGGGATGCAGGGCCTGCACCCCAGGTGATATAGCACCTTTCAGGTGGGCTGCTTAGAAAAGGAACAGCCAGTGACAGGCAGGATAGTGAACAGGCATTGATATAAAACACAGTAATGGTAGGAAAGGGAATTAACCCAGCTTTGGTATATTGGTAGAGCAAGCTAATCCTCTGACTGTGGTGTTGACATCCCACATGGACCCCAGCTCATGTCCCAGCTATTCTATTTCTGATCCTTGCTTCTGGTCTCAGAAAGCAGCAGAAGATATCCCAAGGCCATGGGCTCCTGTACCCAATGGGAGACGCAGAAGAAGCCCCTGTCTGACTCCTTGCTTCATATCAGCCCATCTCTGGCCATTGCAGCTCTTTGAGGATTCAACCAGTAGACAAAGAAGATCTCTGTGTGTGTCTCTCCTTTCTCTGTAACTCTAATTTTCTTTTTTTCTTTTTTTTTATTTTAAAGATTTATTTTTATTATTTTTTTCATTGGAAAGGCAGATATACAGAGAGGAGAGACAGAGAGGAAGATCTTCTGTCCGATGATTCCCTCCCCAAGTGAGCGCAACGGGCCGATACTATGCTGATCCGAAGCCAGGAGCCTCTTCCGGGTCTCCCACATGGGTGCAGGGTCCCAAAGCTTTTGGGCCATCCTCGACTGCTTTCCCAGGCCACAGGCAGGGAGCTGGAAGGGAAGCGGGGCTGCTGGGATTAGAACCGGCGCCCATATGGGATCCCGGGCGTGCAAGGCGAGGACCTTTAACCACTTGCGCCACAGCGCCGGGCCCATGTAACTCTAATTTTCAAGTAAAATAAACAAATCTTTCTTTTAAAGCAAAAGCAAGCAAGCTAGAAGGAAGGAAATTTATGCACACCAATGCAAGGTGAGACTTGTAAAGGTATTTATGGGTACTGTGCAGGACTGTGCAGGCTTACACAACCCTCTGCCCACACTGTACATTCAGGAGGGAAACTGAGCTGCACAGAGGAAAGAGCTTCCCCAGGCTCATGTTTCTTGTCGGGGAACAGGGCTTGTTCCAGCATGGCTGGATCTCTGTGACACCAAACTCTGTGTTTTCCTCCCCTCCCCTCCCATAGGAAGCCTTGTCCCTCCCTGTCTGCTCATTCTCTCTGCTGGGTCACCTGGGTGTGTTCACAGGGGAGGGACCCTCACCCTCCCACCCCCAATAAGACAAGAGGATGAGAACATGCCAGTGCCTCTCAGAGGCCAAAGAACAATGGGTTCTTTATCATTTTAGCTACAGGACTATGAAAGCTGCAGGGAAACACTATTATATTTTACTGCGTAACATAGAGGCAAGTACATCATAAAGTGAACATACATTGCAGTATGCATCTCTACTTCCGAATAAAATATGGACTTCCAGTGAAGCTGTTAAATATATCTTGACAATGGGATGCTGATCTTTCTACCATTGTCTACATCTACAAATGCTATGATACAGTTAATAGCAGAATGATGAACTTGTGACCGTGGTTAAAAGATTATACTATTGTTATAGGGGAAAGCAGTGACAGGGAGTCGGGGAGAGGATGAGAAGGGTGGAAGATGAAATCCCTGGGCGTAAGCAAATGTATCTTGAAAAATAAAAACTGAAACTAAAACAAAACAAAACAAAACAAAACAGGAAACAGTGATCCAAAAGAAAAGCAAATCAGATGCATCACCTCAGCCAGGTGCAAGGTCACTCAGGTTTGAGAGTGTGTCCAGACGCCTGGGACCAAATGCACATGCATGTCAAGGCTCTCATGAAATATGAAATCCACAAAGGTGATGTGCAGAAGGCCAAGGTGGAGTGACCACAAATCTCTATGCTCTGAAATCTATGGCAACTCCCTTTTCCTTCTGATGCACCTGTTGCCCTGCAAACCACAGCAGCTTACATAGACACTGTCAGAACAGCTTCGTCTATTCAGGGAGTCCCTTTAAGGACTGGGCCTTCAATGTCTCCTGTGACAGAAAACAGCTGTCAACCCCTTCTGACACGGAGAGGCAGCCTGTGTGGTGCTGTGCGTCATTCAGCTGGCCTAGGGTGAGCAGCCATCAACCTGGGACTGAGACCTGGCGAGTGCTCAGGCCTTGATGTTGGTTAGATTCCACTGACTTCTAGACCCCCATCTGTGAGAGGCAACGGAAAAGGAAGGAAATGCACAAATCTGCATCTGTACCAGGGGAGGCCAGGAACACATGGTTCAGGTGCCAGGCGCTCCTTGCAGGTCCTGGTCTCAGACACGCAACAAAATCAAAGAAGCTAAGAACAAAGGTGCTCCAGGAACAAAACCAAAGTTCTGCCAAGTGGGATGATGGAAGAATGAACTACACATATGAGTAGCTTCCAAAAAGACAGGGAATATTTGTGACTGAAAGTCAGAAAGAGAGAACAAAGATTCCTTTGATCTGCCTCTTGGGAACACAAGCAAATTCCTTTTTAATTTTTTTTCTTTTTGATGATGTTTATATAGTTGAGAAGGATGCATGCCCATGTGGGCTACTGATTAGGGTGTGAAGGGGTCAAGGAGTAGGGGATATTGGATGAGACTTCTGTTTCCAATTTTCTTTTTCTTCTTCATGTGTTTGGGGAAAGAGGGCAGAGAAGAGGAGAAGCCACATACAGCATCCAAATCGCATCAGTACCCATAGGAGGGGGCCAGCTACCTAATGTCATTCCAGGGTCCCCCATGTGAGCGTGGCCTGAGGACAGTGTTCAAATGTTCAAGTGGTTTCAATAGTTCTGATTTTGTTGCTCCAAGAATGAGGAAATCCTTCCAAGGCCCATTGGCTGACATAGCCCACCTTAGAGTCTCCATTCACCTTGATAATTGCTGTCAACACTTGGCTGCCAAAGTTGTCCAATTTGTTCAGCCATCCTTGGTACTAGATGTTCTCTGCAGGCTTCAATTACCTGTCATGATCCCATGTACATTTGGTCACACCATCCACTGTGCAGTCTTCAGCAACCAAACAGGCCCAGTTCTAACATATGCTCTCTGTGGTGAGACCACAGATCCTGTGATTTTGACAGTGGTTATAGTTCTGAGTCCAGCAGGTGCCCCAGACCTGATTGTTGTGTCTGCCAGCCAATACAGGGTCCAGCTCAGTCCATCGCCCACATCATCCTACACACACACTGGTGGCTGCAGTTTCTGTCTCCAGCCCCATCTCATATGCAAACAATGGGTACCATGGCACAGCCCAACCCTGCCCATCACACACTCAGTTCTCTTATATACCAGTAGAAATAGCTGTGTAGTCAGAGAAACCCTCAATAACCCCCTCCAGGGCTGCCCCCAGCCCTGGTTCCTACACATGACAGTGTGTGCAGCAGACTGGTCCAGTCTGTCTTGCATCCCATTTGTCTCTCATACACTTCAATGGTGCTTCAGGATTGCTCAACCCAACTGACCCCATTATCTAGCTCACAGTTCTGCTAGTGAGTGCTACAGCCTGTCCAAGACTGGTCTACACCCAGCCTTGGTTCTCATGTTCACCTGTGGGAGCTACAACCCATCAGAGAGGTGTCAACAGTTTCCCTATTAGGCCTACTCCCAGCTCCACTTTTGCTTCTTCTAGGTGGTTCTGCAATTTCGCTTGAGAGGACTTGCCCCTTTTCCTAGCACTTGCTACCCAATGCTGTGGCAAAGCCCAGCCAGCCTGCACTTATTCTGACTCATGCATGCACTGATGGATTTAGTCACTTATCCCAGCCTGGCTCTCTCCTTAACCCAGGTTACATGCAGGTCAGTGGGTGTTGTACTCAGCCCATCCTGGTTGACATCAAGTTGCAGTTCTCCTGCTCATCAGCAGGAGCAGTGTCCCCCCAACCCCCCCCCCCGCTCCCAGGGGAGACAGCACAGCATTGCCTCACTGCTGGGCTCACCCTCCCTCACACATACACACCAAGTGTTTCATGTGCTGGTGTGTGCTGTGGCCCAGTGTGGCATAGCTTGTCTCACCTCAGCTCCAGGTCATACTGGCAAGTAACAAAAAAAATTCTCACAGGAGTCAATGAAGCAGAACTGGGGACTAGGACAGCACAGTCTAAATTCAAACAACTTCTTCCAGCACCACCACCACATTACTACCGTTTTTATCACTTTTTTCTTTAAATATTTATTCATTTTTATTGGAAAGTCAGAATTACAGAGAGAATAAGAGACAGAGAAAGATGTTCCATCTGCTGGTTCACTCCCCAAGTGGCCAAACAGCCAGAGCTGAGTTGATTCGAAGCCAGGAACCAGGAGCTTCTTCCACTCTCCCACACAGGTGCACGGGGTTTCAAAGGCTTTAGACCATCCTCTGCTGCTTTGCCAGGCCTTAAGAAGGGACTGGACAGGAAGCTGGACACAAACTGGTGCCCATATGGTGTCCCAGCACTTGAAGGGAGAAGATTAGCCAATTGAGGCAGTGCACTAGGCCCTTCATTATTTATTTTTCATTGATTTAGATTATGTGTAAGAAATAGGGAGATGACAGGAACCAATTGGGAGAGATGGTATTGGGCAGAGGTCATACGATAGAGGTGGAGAGAATTTTTGAACAAATGCTTTAATTTGCAGAAACGAATGTCCAGTTCCACCTCCCCTCTGGTTCACCTGATTATTTCCACAGTGCCAAGTCCCACTCATGGCTGAGGAGACTGCCACCACCTCCCAAGAGGGGATTCTTCCACACTTCCAGACTTCCTGAACTGCTATGGTAGGCAGGCACTAGGACACACAACACAGGGAAAACATGCAAGGATTCCACTCAAGGTGTTGACTCAGGTGCCGTGTTTTGTTGTTTCTTTAAAAAGGACAGCAGTCACACTGTAAAGGGATATGCTTTATTGAGAGCAACATTCTGACAAAACAGATGAGGAATAACTACGTTAGTGGGAGCATCCAGGGAAGTGTCCCAGAGGGGATCTGTCCAAGGCCTGCCAGCCCCTTCCCCATCAGGCCTGCAGCTCTCAGAAACAGCACAGCTGCAGGGGAGCTTCAGGGTGAATGAATGCGGAATCCAGGGAAGGGAGAAACCTAAGGTGAGGAGCAGACCAACATGCACAGGGCACAGAAATGACCAAGACACCAGGGCATCCAGCCTGACCAGACACTCACACGGCATGTTGCTTCCCTAGGCCCTGCTATAGCAACAGAACACAGAAAACCACAGAATCCAGCATGGTCAGTGCCAAGTCAGGGTTCCCAGGGAAGAGGGTATGCCTACACTGAGGTTCAAGGTTTTGGGGTCACAGCCAGTACCAGGGAGACCTCATGGGGGAGCCCATCTGGCACAGGTGCAGCGAACTCTGGCTGTTTGGAGAGCTCACAGCAGAGATGGGGACTGTTTGTTGGCCTTGGTACAGGAAGAAAAGCCCAGGGGGCCGTGGCTGAAGAAGAGGGCAGAGCTGAGGATGGCCAGACCTCAATGGGAGGGGCTGGCTTAGAGGACAGGAGGCAGCAGGTTAGGGAGGAGGAGGCTGTGGAAGGAGAGGACTGAAGGCTGAGGCAGGGCTGGGGGCCTGAGCACCCATCAGCCCCTCTCACTTCACTTCAGAGCCTTATTTTCCAGTCCATGTGGCACTCTTTAAAAACAGAGGGACTTTGATGAAGCGGCTGGACTTCAAGTAGGCAGCGATTTTTGGCAGGCCCTGCAGGGGCAGAAACAGGAGCAGAGCTCAGAGTCCGTGGTCTCCTGGGGTTCCCTCAGCCCCAGTGTAGGCACAGACCAGTGGGACCAACAGCGGCCACTGCACAGGGCTGTGCTGGCTGCACTGACATCTCCATAGGACCATAGCCCAGGGGACTTCATGCTTCAACACAGACACCTCCCCTCCACCACCTCAAAAGATGGATCAGCAGGATGACGCTAGAACTGGGTGCTTTGTAGCCATGGAAAATGTCAGTGCTGGCTCAGAGGTCGCTCCACGTCTAGCATGATTGACTCCTGGCCACCATGTCTCAAGGCAGACTTGATGGGCACAGCCATTCAGGAATTTTCTCACAGTCAAACACGGAGCAAGCAGAGTATGACACAGCCTGCTGTCCCTCTCCTAACTGTTCTGCTCACTTCCCTACCCACATAGGCTCTGCTGCACACTCTCCTTATCCACAGTGAGGCTGCCCGATGCACAGCATTGCACACAGAGCAGGGACGTCCATCAGGAAAAGGGGCTGAGACCATGTCAGGGCAGCCTACAGAGCAGTCCTGATCTTACCCAGTGACTCAGCAGGCCCTCACTGTGGGGAACAGGAGGAGGTGCAGCAGCAAAGGAAGGCAAGGCCAGACTCCAATCCTCCCCCTGACACAGGGAGTCCTAACTCCTCCACTTGGTATCTCAGGTCAACCTCACTGCATCTCAATTCTCCTCATCCTGAGACCTGTTATAGCGAGCAGTACCAATCACACTCCTGGGTCATGCACCTACACGCCAGGGCTGACAGCACCGTGCAGGTTCTCAATAATTCAGGGGGATCCAGACTGTTCTAACCCTAATGGGCCTGGCCCTGGGTACCGCATGGTCCAGCTCATATCTAATCTATGTCCAGTCTCTCTTTTCAGGCACACAGAGCTGAGCCAACTGTTACATAATCCAGAGGTCACAGGCTTGGACTTCATCCAGAGCTGATAAGAAGGAACTGAGACAGCACATCTCTGCGTGGGGAGGAGAACAGGACAAACATTGTATACTGAACAGCTTGTTGGACTAATGCCTCGTACTCCCAAATCTGTAACCAAGTAGGCTTTGTTGTGAGCAAGCATGGAGTCCCAGGTGGTCCCTGTGATCCTGTGAAGTGAGGCCCAGGCTGTGCTCCTCAGTAACCAAGAGCTGTTGCTCCTCCATCTCCAAACTGCTGAGTTTGCAGTTCTCTAACTGGTTCAGTTCCAGCATGGAGTCACCTTTGCACAGGCATAAACAAAATGGTAAGCAGCTGCCCTATCTCACAGGCAGAACATGTGGGATACTAGAGTGAAACAAGAGACATCGAAGGAGAAAGAAAACCTACATCATCAAACAAATCAAGTCTCCCCAGCAGAGAATCCACAGTTGTGGACAACTCCAGCACCAACAGTGCTGGGAGCTCAGTGCCTGCACATGGGGATCTCACTGGTTCAATGTGCTCTAGAGATCAAACACATGGACTGTGCGTGTCTCTGACACTGAATCCACCCTACCCGGTCTCAGTTCAGCTGAGACCAGCTACAAACACACACTGCTCAAAGTCTGGCCTCTCCTATAGTCTCCTGGGATGGGAGACCAGACTGGACAAGGGTCTGAGGCTGCTCAGTTTAGCACAAAAATCAGAGAAGTCCTGACTGTTGTTCATACACACCAGAGGTTTCTGGGAGCCCAGCACAGCTGTGACGGGCTCTGGGACCCTGATAAATGGCTTTTATACTGCTGACTCAGTATTCCTTATGAATCAATTGGGAGAGACAACTTGTAGAGATACACTGGACACAGCAGGTGCAGGATGCTAACCCTGGGTCCTGCTCTCAGGGGTTGGTCTACAGCTCAGCTCCAGGACTCGAACAAAATGAAGGAACCAGAAGAGGGGAGAGGAGGGTTGGGGATGCACCTCAAATCGAGCCATGAAATCCTTCAGGTTTGGGAACGCATCCAGGCAACCAGGAGCAAAAATACGGTTCTGGTCGAGGACATCATAGACGAGGAAATCGGCAATGGTGATCTGCAGAAGCCAGGAGGAGGGAGACAGGGGCTTAGGGATAGACTGACCATGCCCCTGCCTCCCTCCCCTTCTCTGCCTCACCTTGTCCCCTGCAAACCAGGGCCGCTTCCCCAGGAACTGGGAGTACAGTGTCAGCTTGTCTGGGAGGCCCTTCAGGTAGTCAGGCTTTAGCTTTTCCTGAGGGAGCAAACAGCTGTCAGCACCCACAGACACGGATTGCAGGAGAGGGTCTGCCTGCCCAGGGCTGTACATGGCCGTGCTGACTGGGGGCAGCCATCCTCCCTGAGCGTGGCATAAATGTTCACAGTTCACAAGGGATGAGAATGTGATATGAAAGGATGGAGGAAAAGGAACTCAGGACCTCTGGGTGATTGTGTGCTGCTCACTGGGGAAATCTGCTTATCCCTGTGGGGACTTGAAGAAAACCGTGGGAAAACAGGGCATATGCTTAAGGATGCTCCCATCTTGAACTAATATAACTCATGTAATGGACTTTCCATCCAGCGACAAGCATTTAATGGGAACACATTGAATGGTGGTCATGATAAGGGTTAGACACAGAGATTCTGAAGGGAATTTCCTGTCTTAGACATGACTGTTCACCTATAGGCATTGTAACTTTATCTAGGGCTGTGGAAGTTAATCAAAATCATTCATTTTGAACAGACATAAAGAGTACAGAATCAATGTTTTCACAATATAGTAAATTGTGCAGGCAGTCAGACTTCATAGGGAATTCAGAGACAAACAGGAACAGTGCAGATGAGAACAGAAGATTTGGCTTGTCTTTGAATTTGCCAGATGCAATCCACTTGGGCACTCACAAAGTCAGGGCTATAGCAGACTGCCACCAGTTGCATGCGGTTGTCCATAGCCTGGTTCTCCAAAATGTCCACGCGAATCTTCTCCTCTTCCGTCTCCCCACCTGCAGCACACACAGCAGACACAGCAGACACCCTCAGCATCCCACCCAGCCAGGCCCAGGGCACAGCCACAGCCCCACGCCCTCAGCCAGCCCCACTCACACAGGTTGTGCTTGCGGCCAAGATAGCGCACGATGGCGTTGCTCTGGGTGAGCTTGTGAGTGCCGTCAATCAGGTAAGGCAGCTGGGAAGGGAGGAGGGAAGTCAGCTGGTTTCCAGGTGCCCAGCATCCCCTGACCTGATTAAGACCACACAGGATTCCTGGCACCCTCTGTGCCTGGCTAATGGCAGGCCTTGGAGACAATCTCTGCACAAGGCATGAGTGAGCTATGAAATAGAAGCTCAGGAAAAGACTGCAGAGAACCACGGATGACAGTGGTTGAGCACAGGTCCTGGTCCTGAACCCTCTAACCATGGGAAGGATGTGGAGACAGAGACACCATTCACGACCCCACTCCCTCCAACACCCCATCTCCTGCACATACATTGGGGAAGTCCAGGCCCAGCTTGAATTTCTCATTCAGCCACTGGCTTCGGTCATAGTCGGGAGCTGTGGAGAAGACCAAGTGAAACAAAACCTCCCCAGTGTGTAGCCTCCCCTCAGGAGAGTCAGGGGCAAGACCCCTGAGGAGGGCATGTGGGATCTGAGTCCCTCATATCACATTCAATGTCTGGAGAAAGGGAATAATGATCCTATGGGGTTCTTGACTCCAAAGCTTTTGGGAAGTGTGGGAAAGGACCCAATGCTGAAAGCAGGTTCCCAGCACCCCTTCCCAGAGCCATGCCATGGGAGGCCACACTGCACCTTCAGGGACCAGGAAGGGCAGGCTCTGCTTCCAGGGGTTGAGGTCTGCACAGGTGATATGCAGGTGGCCAGGCAGGGGTTACTAGATGACAGAAGCAGTAGACAGAGGTCAGAGCAGGCAGAACCATACCGTCTCCCATTCTGTAATGCTTTTCCTCATAGCTGGTGCCAGTGTATTCCAGAAGTGTGCGGATGGGCAAAGCCAACTGGGGGAGACACCAGAGCCAGGGGTCAGAGCTGGAGGGACTCCAAAGGTTGCCCTCATCTCCTCCAGGGGAGCCCTACTCTACACCTAATAGCATGCCTTTTTCCTTCTGCCCCTTCCCCACACTGGGATGCTTGCATCAGGATTTCCTGGCAGCCTAGGAGGAGGAGAAGCAAGGAAGTTCCAAAACAAATGAAGACCTAAAGCCTCCACAGCTGTTCTGTGCCCTCTGTCCCATCCCATATCCATGCCCGTGTCCCATCAGCAGAGCAAACCCTTAGCTCACCCCGCGGAGATCCCAGTAGCCCAGGGTCATAGGCATGGTGCTGCTGGTGCTGCAGTGGTGGCAACTGAGGTTACAGAAAAGAGCCTGGGACTTTTATGCTTGACTTAGAAATAGCCAGGGGGCGTAATCAGCTGTGAACCCGCCCCTACCAGCCCCACCTCCAACCCAGGCTGCCCCAGGAGGCAGTGCTCTGCTCTGCCCCACCCTCAGGAATGAGCCTGGTAACTGCCAGTGCTGGCTGGACAGTTGGAGGTCTGTGCAGATCCAAGTCAAGTGTTGACCTGGGACCGGTGGTATCCGCAAAGCCCTCCTTGAGGCTCCCACACAGGGCTACCCTCTGCAGGGCCACAGGAGCTAGCAAGCCCTTGGCAGACGTGCCTTTAAAGTGCCATGCACTTCCCTCTACTGTCTGTGTGCTTGACTCAGGCCTCATCCCAAGAAGGAGCAGCTATAGCACCACCTCCCACTCTGGGTTCTGGGAAGACATGTTGCTGGGCCAGGACCCAATGGTGAACTCCCACAGCAGGGGCAGTAAGGGTGACCTCCCTTACAGGAGGAACTGAATCTGGGTCAACTGTTTAAGGAATGTAAAGTAGCTGAATCTTATTCTGCTCCAGCAAGAGGGCAGGTACACAAGAGCCTCCCTGCCAGGCAGCTGGCTTTGGATGCATCTGGTTGGAGTGACCAGTTCCTCTGCAAGGCAGAGGCAGGGCCTTTAAGGGGCCATGGAGTCTTAGGGCTCTGGACTCCTTCAAAGCTCAAAACCAAAAGCCAGTTCCACTTGTGATCCAGCTCCCTGCTTCTGGCCTAGGAAAGCAGCAGAAGATGGGGTCCTGACACCGTGATGGGAGAGCAGGATGAAGCTCCTGGCCTTGGCCTGCATTAGCTGTGGTTGTTGCTGCCATCTGGGGAGTGCAGCAGCAGCTAGAAGATTCTGTCCCTCTCTCTCTCTCACTCTCTCACTCTCTTGCTCTAGCTCTTGCTCTCCTACTCTTTCTCTCTCTCCATAGTTCTTTCAAATAAATAACTCTTGTTTTCAATCACTGCCACCATAGTGGGGGTTCTGTATGTTGGAGAAGTGCTTTGGATCACAGTCTCCTCCGACATTTTCTTACTGTCTGCCCTTGGCTGTGGAACATTTGCCACAAGAAGACTCTTTACATATGTGGGCCCCTCGGGCTTGGCCCTCCCAGCCTGGAGGCTGCCAGAAGGAAGTCTCTGGTCTTCACAAATTGCTCCATCTCAGCCATACTGTTACAGCAGCACAAACAGACCAAGGCACTAAGGTGGCCTGCTGGGTGACAGAGTGTGGCTGTCACAGAGGGAATGACAGTGAGGGAGGAACCATGTCCCAGAAGACTCAAGATGTCTGTCCTGCTGCAGGAGCAAAGGATGGAGCCCAGGAGGAGCCCCAGGCAGGGCAGCCAGCTCTGATCCCAGCTCTCCTGGATTAGATCTCCAGCCCCATTGCCGGACCTGAACACTGTGCGTTCTGGAGGTGCATAAAGTGGTGGCAGAGAGGTGACCTGCACTATCACCTCCACAAGGATGATGTCCTCCCTGCCTGCTTTCTACTCACTGGCAGAAATCTGAATGAAAGCTAAGAGCCTGTGACCCATCACTGTGCTCTGTTCAAATGATGAGACAAGGGACCACGAGTATAAGATAAGTGATGGGTGAAACATTAAAAAGGCAACCAGTTGAAAGTTAAAGGGCAAGGGGATTGCGCTGCAGAAAATCCATCTGGGCAATTAGCCCACAGTTTACAAGGCCTGCAGGGTGTCAGCCCAGTGTGCCAGGAGAGGCTTCAGCTCACCTGGGTAAGGTGTGGTATGGACATGGGCATGGATAGGTAGGTATCATCTCACTTCATTCAGACAGGCCCCTCCTGAAGCTCAGGTCCTCTATCTGTGTCCAGGCTCGGGAAGCAGCCTCTGGCCTCAGAGTGGGTTGTGCCAGGGTTTGCCTCTTGTGGGACACAGGTGCCTGGCCCCTGCATTGGAACTGTTCCCACCAGAAGTTAAACTGCATCTGTCTGAACCTTACACCTCCTGAGCCTCAACAGATGAAATGTCTAGATGCAGTTGAGAAAACACTTCTGAAATGAGCCCACAATAATTAGAACAAGACTTTTGAAAGACAGAGCCAACACAGTGGCACTGGTGGTCACTTGTTGAGTCCCCAAGATTTCCAGATCCCCTGATGTACACTGCTGTCCACTGACCACAAAATTAGGACAAGTCCCAACATTTCAAAGGGGCACTGTGCTGGATAACTGAAGCAAGACAGAGAGAAGGTCTGGTGTGGTAGCCTACTGGCTGAAGTCCTTGCCTTGCACGCACCAGGATCGCTTTTGAGTGCTGGTTCTAATCCCATTGGCCCCATGTCCCATCCAGCTGGCTGCCTGTGGCCTTGGAAAGCATTCCCCAAGTAGCTGCAAGCACCTGTGCTGAACCAATGTGAAGCTAGAAGCCAGGAGCTTCTGTCGGGTCTCCCACAGGGGTGCAGGGTCCCAAGGCTTTGAGCCCGTCCTCTACTGCTTTCACAGGCCACAAACAGAGAACCAAATGAGAAGCGGGGCTGCCAGAACATGAACTGGCACCCACATGGGTTCCTGGCATGTGCAAGTCAAGTACTTTGGCCTCCTGGCTATCGGGCTGGGCCCCGGATTTTACCAATTTATTCATTGATGATTTTGGCCAGTGTTATGTGTTTGTGCTAAACATTAAACAGCCAGAGTTTCACAAAGGAATAGAACCAATTAGGACATATCTGAGAATAATATACTAAGACTTTTCCAAATCTTATTAAAAATAGATTAAAAGCAGTTTATTTAAGGTACAAGATTTTGAGGTCTCTATATAGTTTTAATAATATGCATTTTCCATGTGTCTTGAAAGAATCTACACTAAAATAAACTTACATTCTTAATTCTATTTAACCACCAACATTTCTCAATACTCTTGTAAGTTCGGATATTTATCTGTTTACTGAGGTCATTGGCTCTGAGAATGAATTAGATGAGGTGATCCAGGGTCAGTCATCTGCACACTGGGAAGAGGAGCTGGGGAGGAGTCCAGTACCCGCCAAAGACCTGGGGGTGTCAATGGAGGGCAAAGGCCACAGTCTAAGTCTCAGCTCAAGGTCAAAGGCCACAGAATGAGGAGAGTCAGTTGTCCTCGGAAGAGAAGGTAGAACTCACTCTCCCTCCACCTGTTCTTTCCTGTTGAAGCTTCGTGGATTGGAGGTGGTCAGCACAGTTGGTGAGGGCGAGAGTGGATCTTCTTTATTTGCTGCATTGATTCACGTGCTAATCTCCCTGGAAGCACTCTCACCATCACCCAGAAACATGGATCCTTCAGCCCAAATGGACACCTCAAATGAAGAATGGTCACATTGTGTGGCAGGAAACCATGCCAAGCAGAGACTTAACCACTGTCCAATGCTGGACATGCAGGCTCATCTTTTGATAATTATCTAAGAATTACTAAGCCACAGGGAGCTAACAGAAAGTTTAACATGAGGAAATTCATAAGCAGAATGACTCACAGACTGTGGTTTACTGGTGGAATCATGTACAACGCATTAACAATTAGCAAAGGGAAAGACAGAACATTAAAATCCAGTTGCGAGCCCTGCGCGGTGGCGCAAGTCCTCACCTTGCACGCCCGGGATCCCATATGGGCACTGGTTCTATCCTGGCAGCCCCGCTTCCCATCCAGCTCCCTGCTTGTGGCCCGAGAAGGCAGTCGAGGACGGCCCAATGCTTTGGGACTCTGCGCCCGCGTGGGACACCCGGAAGAGGCTCCTGGCTTCGGACCGGCATAGCATTGGCCGTTGCGCTCACTTGGGGAGTGAATCATCGGAGAGAAGATCTTCCTCTCTGTCTCTCCTCTCTGTATATCTGCCTTTCCAATAAAAAAAAATAATAATAAAAATAAATCTTAAAAAAAATCCAGTTGCAACCCTACAGAAAAGGCACAAGAGGAAACTGTGGACCTCCAGCATAGCAAGAAACCCACATTCCCGTAGGGAGCTCCACAAATGTCTTCTCCCTGGAGAGTGAGCAAACCATCCATTAATATAGCAAGGAATCCTAAAGTTCCCCTACAAGGCCAACCAGGTCTTATTTTTGCCAGCAGGTGCTATGGCACAGTGTAGACGGCCCATTTCCAGTCTCAACATTCACCAGCAGAGGGTACAGCCTGGCTCAATGTAGGCAGATCCCAATCCCAGCTCTTGCTGGCAGGTATGGCAGCCTAGTCCAACTTATTCCACTCCTAGCTGCAGCAGTCAAGTGAACCGATGGGTGTCAAGCTCCAATCCAGCCTGGTCTGCACCCTTTCTTTGTTCTCATTTGTGCCAGGATGTGCTGTAGACTGACCCTTCCTGACCTGCCCCCAGACCTAGATCACACATGTGCCAGTAGCTGGCACGGCCCAACCTGGCCTGGCTCTAGTCCTGGCTCTTATGCTCACCAGCAGGAGCTGTGCCCTTGCAGGGTTCCCAAAGTATCCCTACTTGGCCTGTTCCCAGCCCTGGATCCCATGTGTGTTGGCAGGTACTGCTGCACAGAATGACCTGGCACTCATTAGTGAGTACTGCGTTTAGCCAGACTGGCCGGCACCCATTCTCTCACCAATGGGTGGTTCAAACCAGCCAAGCCTGGCCCACCCCCAGATCTGGCTCTCATGTGAGCTGAAACTGTTGATGGTCAGAAGCAAGTGCATAAATTTATCAGAGGTCAGAATGTCTTCATCCTGACATTCACCCTGATCCCTTACCCAGCTAGAGTATTAATTGAGTGGATGCAAGGACAAAGGCATTAACAGAAAAGCCGGGACTCAAGAGATTTCTACCACATCCCAATGACTGCTGTGCAACAGGCCTGGGCCGGGCTCTTGAAGGCATCAGAGCAAATGAGCAAAGTGGTCCTGGGGACCTTGCAGTTGGGATGGAGCCACATAGTATGGAGGCAACAGGATGCCAGCTCCCTCTACTGGGGATGCCTAACCCTGGATACTTCCCACTGAGCTGCACAGCTCTGCACAGTCATGGGGAGCACACCATGATGCCAGGGATTAAATGAAAGGTCCTGACCACCGAGGGACCACTTGACCACAGAGGGACCACCTCTGTTCTCTAGGGTGCCTCACAAGGCCACCTGCTTTGAGGGGATCACACACAGGAGCAAGAAGTCTCAGACACCAAAAGTCCTACTTGATTCCCTATGAACCCAGTCACTGCCAAGGTCATGGGCCAGCCAGTTGCCTGAAAGAAGTAACAGACCTAGTGGGTGCAAGGAGTCTGAGACAATAAGACAGGACACTGATGAAACACGTTGCAAACTTTACTGGGGAGCAGACAGGGTTGTAACAACAACTACATGGGGGAACAGGGCTTATACCCCCAAGCAGTGCTGGTCCTTCAGACTCCAGGAGTCTGGGGATGGACCTCCAGGCCAGGGATCCAGTCGGGCTCCTCAGAGTAGACACAGCTACTGACAGACAGAACACAGGAAAGACAAGAGAGGGAACTCCCTGGCATGGGGAGGGGGAAGAGGCTAGAGGGTATTTTTGGAACAGGAAGGAGGTAGAGGAAAGAGAAGCAAAAGGCTTTGAGGATAAGAAGGGAGTGAGAGGAAGAAGGCAGTGCCAGGGACACAGGGGGACCAGCTGCCCCCTCACCCCAGGTTCTGGGTAGCAGGCTGACACGGCTCCTCCTGTCTCCTGGCCTTTCATGGCCCTACTTGTTGCCCCACGTGGCCATCTTGGTGAATACAGGTCTTGGAAGGAAGCGGCTGGACTTCATGTAGGCAGAGATCTTCTCCAGGCCCTGTGAGTGGGAACAAGGACAGAGCTCAGGGCCTGCACCCCACTGAGGTACCCACCCACAGCCCTAGGCAGCCCAGGCACAGTGGGACCCCAACAGGAGCCCTCCTGAGGCTCCAGGGCTGGAGCTTGACACAGTCTCCTGAGGGGCCACAGCCCTGGTGACTTCACTTTTCAGGGACCTTCAGCCAATGTCCTTGCTTCCTAAGAGCTCAGTGAGGGTACTTGGCACACAGCAGGTGTGTTACATGCACTGTGGGTGACTGTTCAGGATTAGGAAACTGTTTCCCCAAATCTGATGCTCAGCCCCATTATCACCATTCATCAGAAAGGAACTAAGGACCGGGCAATGGCACGGCATGACTCCACCCCTTGGGACATCCCATCCCCTCTCACAGTGCCTGGGTTTCAGCGTCTGCTCTGCTCTCCTACCCAGCTCCAGACTAATGCACATCCTGTAGGCAAACAGGGATAGCTCAGCTATTCGGGTCCCCACGACTCACATGGGAGGCTAGACTGAGCTCCTGACTTCAGCCTGGCCAAGTCCTGGTTGATGAGACCATTCAGAGAGGGAGACAGTGGATGGCAGAAATTCTGTGTGTGTGTGTGTGAAAGAGAGAGCGCTTTTCAAATGAATTTAAAAAGAAACTCAGAGCACCCAATCCACAGACAGGTTAAGAAGCTCCTCATGCTCACGTAACTAGTGATGACTCATGGCTGGGAGCTGCCGGGCCATGTCTGCCTCCCAAGCCGGGCTCTCTGTAGTATGACTCTCCTCCTCCCTCCAGAATGCCCCATCACTACTAGTCTACTTGGATTGTCTCCCTTTCACATGCTGGTTCTTGATTTGGTTGGGTTTTATAAGGTGTGTGGGTGGAGGGAAGCATTGCTAGCAGGACAAATGTCCATGTAGAGTGGAAGGGAGCCCAGACATTACTCAGTGATACTGCATAACGGGGATACAGGCAGGTGACCCGGAAAGCACAGACTGGACTGAGCTCTAATTATTTGCAGGAAAGCAGAAGACTGATTTCCTACCTGGTGCCAGAGCTCATCCCCTCTGTGCCCCAGCCTACTTCATCTCCAGCTCTAACACAGGGGACAAGACCGTATGACAGCACAAGTAGCATGGACCGTATTGCCATGAAAGAGAGTGTGAATGTAATGCTTTTTTCCCCTAAAATATGTATCTTAAAAGGCAGATTGCAAGAGAAGAGAAGCAGGAGGTGAGATTGAGAGAAAGATTTTCCATCTGTTGCTTTGTTCCCTAAGTGGCCACAACAGCCTGGGCTGTGACAAACCAAAGCCAGGAAGCCTGGACTCCAGCCAGGTTTCCCACATGGGTGGCACGAATTCAAGTGATTAAGCATCAGCTGTTGCTTCCCAGGGACATTGGTAGGGAGCTGGATAGGGACCACGAAGCCAGGACTTGAAGTGGGCAATTCCTGAAGCATTCAACAGACCCAGGGCCATTGGCTGCAGTCCAACCCTCACACTATTGCCCTCCCTGCCTCAGTCATGTCAGCTCTTCCAAAGCCATGTAGCCTAGGCCTGGGCCAGAGATGATAGTTGCTGACAAGACACATGGCCCGATGGGGAGTGGGACAGGAAAAAGACTCCAGCCTGAATCAGTGGGGCTAACACCTAAGATTTCCAGCACTTAAGTCTCTGGATGCCAGGGTGTAAAGGATCCGAGCCTCTGCTGCGTTTGACATTTCTGCTCCCTGTTCTCGTCTCCTTTGGGAGGCAGCAGAAGATGACTTCATTACTTGGGTCTGAGTCAGCCACATGGGAGACCTAGATTGAGCTCCAGGCTCCTGCTTCTGGCACTTAGGGAGAGAAGAAGCAGATAGAAGGTTACCTGTTCTGTCTCTGAACCCCGTTCGTTGGGTCTCTGTCTTTTAAATAAAAGGAAAACACGTATATTTTGAAAAAAGAACAAACGTTCCTGAATCTCTGATGAGGTAAGGCTTTGCTACTATCAAACAACCTGACTCCAGGATGACAGCTGAGTAGTAGTTTGGGGAGGTCAGGCCATGCACCCAGGCATACAGAGGGTGACACCCATTCTCCCTCCACCAGCTGTCTGCTGCTTCTCTAACTACAGTTTCTCTAACTATGGTTTCTGACCTGGGTTCTTCTCTGCTCATTCCCTTGTGCCTGATGCTGTCAGGTACACACTCACTACCTGCCCCCATGTGCCTTACGCTGTGCCTCCAACATAGACACTCAGTGCACAGGAAGGAAGATAAGGACTCGCCTGGTATCACTAACAGAACTCGTGGAACTCTGGAAGGAGATATGATAGTGTAAAACAACAGAGTGTGAAAGCACATCAGACTCTCCTGCCAAGGTCCTCCAGCAGGGGCACCCACATACCTGGCAAACCAGGTACCAGTGCCAGCCCTGGGAGCTCGGTGCTTCCTCTCAGTGATCTGAGGGGTGCACAGCTTGCTGGAGACAAGAACAGTGTGTGTATGTGACACTGAACTAGATCCCTGCTGTCTCAGCCTTCCCAGGCCAGCCACAGATTCACCGCTGAAGGCCCTGCCTCTCCATTGGTACCCTGGGCTAGGAACCCCAGGCTGAAGCTTTATCTTTTGGCATAAAACAAGAAGAACCACTGACTACTACCCAAGGCCCCCAGAGGCTCACAGGGAGCCCAGCACGGCCTCGGGCGGCTCTAACAGCTAACCTCTTACAGCTTCAGTTTCCTCATCAGTCAAATAAGAAGGATCCATCCCCCTTCACCATACGAATGTTGCAAGTTGATCTCAGTAGCTTTAAGATAAATACTGCAACATGTCCTATAGCAAAGCCAGGGCTAAACAAATGCTACTCCTCTGTATTCTGTATTCTTCCCTTCTCTGTATTCTCTGGCTCTGAGACTAGGGCAGCATCACGGGAAGGGACAGAGGAAAAGGACAGAGAAGAAGGATGGAGGATAGGGGCATTACCTCAAAGCGGGCTAGGAACTCCTTCAGGGTGGGGAATGCATCCAGACACCGGGGCTCAAACACCTGGTTCCTTTCAATGACGTCATAAGCAACAAAATCCACAAAGGTGATCTGCAAGGGAAGTCAGGAACAAGCAGTGTGGAAGCTCTGTGTGTGACTCAGGACGAATCCCAGCTGCTTTGTCCCTTCCCCTGCTTCCTCTCACCTTGTCCCCTGCAAACCAGGGCCGCTTCCCCAGGAACTGAGCCAGCAGCTTCAGCTTCTCAGGGAGGCCCTGCAGATACTCCAGCTTCAGCTTCTCCTGAGGCAAAGAACACCCAGGAACTCTTAGCTATCTGCTCTTGGCAGGGGCAGCCTGTTCAGGGTGGTACCAGATACAGAAGGCCATGCGGGTGGGGGTGACAGCCACTTTCCCTGGACCTTGCACTGGCTTTGACACACAGCATCAGCATTCATTACCCTATGTGTGCCTATCACACCCATCAGTCACAGACACTAAAGTCCCAAGGGACACAGCAGCATCCCTGAATTTGTCAGCGCTGATATCCAAACAAGCTCTGGCTGAAGGTCAGACACAGCAATGCAGAGAACTCCCTGGTAGGGACAAGCTCTTCCCCCTGTGGGGGCTGAGACATCAGGCTGCTGTCCAAAGACAAGGAAGCCACTTACGACTCCCATCTTATCCTTCTGCTTCTCATTGCCTGAGTCTGTCTGTTCTAGAAGCAGGTAGCTGGTAGGAACCAATGGGAGATAGGGCCAGGTCAGAGCTTAGAGGATAGTTACACAAGATTACCAACCACCACTGAAATTCTACCCCTGGGTGTCTACATTCTGTTCCAAGATTGGTGTGCACACACCCACAACTTTTATTTGGTACAGGTGTGAGGTTGATGGGTCACTCCTGGCAGGTGAGGAAACCTTTTGTGAGATCAGTGTATCAGGAAATTGAATGAGCAAACAGGACCATGCAGATTGGAAAGCCCGAGTCTGTGCACCTGACCCGGATTTCGTCTGGCCTGGCACAGTGAGGGTACTCACAAAGTCAGGGCTGTAGCAGAGCGTAGCCAGCAGCATGCGGGTGTCCATCAGCTGGTTCTCCAAAATGTCCACGCGAATGTTCTCCTCTTCTGTCTCCCCACCTGAAGCACACACAGCAGAGACCCTCAGTATCTCACCCAGCCAGGCCCAGGGCACAGCCACAGCCCCACACCCTCAGCCAGCCCCACTCACACAGGTTGTGTTTGTGGGCGAGGTGGCACAAGATGTCATTGCTCTGGGTGAGCTTGTGAGTCCCATGAATCAAGTATGGCAGTTGGGGAAGGAAGAGGGAAGTCAGCTGGGCTCCCAGGTGCCCAGCACCCCATGCCCTGAGTCGGCAGACAGGAACCCTGGCACCCTCTGTGCCTGGCCCATGGCAGGCCCTGGACAATCTTTGCGCAAGGCATGAGTGAGCTATGACATAGAACCTGAGGGAAAGACTGCAGAGATCTATGGATGACAGTGGTTGAGCACAGGTCCCAGCACTCTCTAGCCATGGGAAGGGTGTGGAGGCAGAGACACCTTGCACTTTCCCATCCCATCCCAGTCATCCCATCCCCAGCACTCACGTATGTTGGGGAAGTCCAGGCCCAGCTTGAATTTCTCACTCAGCCACTGGCTTTGGTCATGGTCGGGGCTGTGGAGAAGACCAAGTGAAACAAAACCTCCCCAGTGTGCAGCCTCCTCCTTGTGTCCCTCCCTCCCTAGGAGTCTGGGACAAGACCCCAAGGCAGAGAGTGTGGGATCTGAACCTCTGAACCCTCATCTCACATTCAAGGTCTGAAGAAGGGGAATAATGACTTAAGAGCTCTAGAATCTACATGCCAAAAGCTCACAGTTCTGAGAACAGGCCTACAGAAGAGCCCACCCATTGTGTCTAAGCTCAGCACCCTGCCTTGGGAGGCCACAGCAGCCTCCCTGCAGGGACCAATAAGAGGCAGGCTCTAATACAGGGTTCAAGGTGTGTGTAGGTGACCAACAGGCAACCACACAAGGGTTGCTAGGAATCAGTCAGTATGCAGAGGGCAGAGTTCAGTGCAGGCAGGAGCATTACCGTCCCCCATGGAGTATAGCTTTTCCTCGTAGCTGGTGTCCGTGCATTCCAGGAGCAGGCGGATGGCGTGAGCCAGCCTGTGGGATGGCCCAGAACTGAGTGACTCTTCCTGCTGCCCTCATCTCCTCCAGGTGAGCCCCAAACCTACACTCCATGCTTTCCCCACCCCCTTCCTATAATTCTGTTCCCACCTTCCCCCTTCTTCCACCCCACAAAGAGCTCGCACAGGGAACTCTGGAGAGGCATGGACAGGCAGCAGCAGAAATCAGGGGCCTACAGGCACCACGGTTTGGTAGTGCCCTGGCTGCGCAGTGTCTCTCACTGGCCCCATGCTGCCTCACCACATGCTCACCCCATGGATATCCCAATAACCCAGGATCATGGCCATGGTGCAGCTGGTGTGGCAGGCTCAGTGCTCAGGCCTCCACACAAAGGGCTGGGGTTTTATGAAAGTCTGGGCAAAGAGGGGTTAGGCCTCTCATCTTCCCATCCTACCCCACAGATCCAATAACCCGCAACAACCAGTGCAGAGCTCAAGCCTCAATGCAGGAAGAAGACTGCAGATCCCCAGCTCCCAGGGTTGCCTGGGCAGGCTCTGTGGGCCTCAGGGCAGCACCTGGTCTCACCAAGTCCCCAGCTCGATCCCCAGGCTCCAGTCCCTGACCACCTTCTGCTGCGTGCCTGGGAGCCGGCAGTGCCCTTGACAGATGAGCCAGGTCTTTGGGAACAAGGCAGCTACCCTTGCTCAGCGCTGACACTGTGTTTCCTGGTTTCTGGGAAGCTCATTCCTGCTGCATCAGGCCAGGAGTCTGCAGGAACAGCTTCAGTAAAAGGGGCAAGAAGAGATCAACAGGTGTTCCCTGTTTTTCTTTAGGGGTCTCAGGAGACTAAAATCTTGGGGGGACTTTGGACATTGGTGTTTTGGACCAAGGATGCATCGAAATCCTTGAGCTAGATCTGAATAAAAATGAAGATCTGGATAGTCAGCTAGGAGGCTGTCCCTAATGACCCTGAGAATGACCTTGAGGGTAGTGGCCACCATGGAGTGTGAACACGGTTGCAAAGAATGTGTTTTAGGAAGGACTCAGGCCTTGTCCTGATGTGAAAGGAGAATAGAGTGTGTCCCTGGAAGAGCCTGAAGACACCCCACAGTGCCAGGAGACCAGGATCAGGGAAAACCCTGAGCTTGGCTGTGCCAGGGACTCTTGTCCTGACCTGGGTTCCTGACCCATGTGGAGTCTTTACAACAGCAGGGCGGCTGGAATTCCTTTGAAGAGACATTGACCTGTGCTACCAGCCCCAAAGAGAAGGCTGTCCCACCTGCTGACTTTGTTCTTGAAAGCCACAGCCAATTTGAAAACTAGGGAAATGCAGTCATGTGATTTCTGATTCATGTTGTTCTGTTTAGAGGGTATTATAAGTGAACATCCTATATGAAACAGATAAATGGACCCTAAAAATCAAATGACTTTGCAAGGTAAAAGACACGGCAGTGGCACTACAGAAAATACATTGTGGCAGTTAGCTAAGACCTTACAAGAACCATGCAGTGGGATATCTGTGAAGGTTCTGACTCACTTGAATAGACAGAGCTTCCAGTCAGCCTGGAATGAAGTATGAATTAGACACAAAAATTTCTTCTTGCCTCTATGAAGTCTTAGAAGCCAAGTGGTCTGCTCATCTCTGGGGAGTTGGAAAGTGGAGGATGGTGTTGCTGGGACTGGCAGAGTGTAGAGTCCCTGCTGCAAGTGTCTCCACCCACTTAGGGCCAGTCCTTCCAGCTCGGGTCACCCCTCAGAGTCCAGTCTCAGGAAGCAAGACTCAACATGGACCCGTTAGTAGGTTAGCCTAGTTCCCTGTACACACCCATGTGCCTGGTCCTCTCAGTTGATTCATTTCCACCATTCATTATGACTGTTTAGCAATGCATTGCAGGATTCAAGGACCACTGTCTTTGAGTGTTTGGTCAGGCCTCCTACACCCTACTTCTCTCTAGCTGCTTTTTCTCAATGATGCGGCACAGGAGGGCATCAGTCACTTTAGCAAGTTGGTGGAAGGAAGGCGAGAGGGAACCAAGCACCTCATTAAGATCCAAAGCTGTTGCAGCAGCCAAGCCCTCTTCCAGATAGGTGGGGCAAAACCCAAGACACCATGGAGATCACCTAAGCATGGATAAGAGCCTGAACCAGGCCCTTCTGGAAGTGCACACCTTGGCTTCTGCCCACTCAGACCCTCATCGCTGTGACTTCCTGGATGAGGAGGTCACACTCCTGAAGAAAATGGGAGACCACCTGACCAACATCTGCAGAGCTATGGGCCTCCAGGCCAGCCTAGGGAAGCACCTCTTTTGGTGCTCAACCTTAAGCGTGACCAGGTGCTACTGAAGGGATCTGGCAACCCTGTGGGAGACCCAAGGAAGTTCCTGGCTCCTGGCTTCAGATAGGCTCAGCTCTGGCAGTTGCAGTCACTTGGGGAGGGCATCATCAAATGGAAGATCTTCCTCTCTGTCTCTTCTCCTCTCTGTATATCTGAATTTGCAATAAAAATAATAAATCTTTTAAAAAAAGAAATTAATTAACTCATCTTTTTTTAGAATGCTGTATGAAATGAAAATAAGACTTCTTAGTTGCTAGACTGTTATCCAGATTTTAATTTAGAACTACGTATATGCAAATACTTTTGACCTCCTCTGCTGGAAAGGGGAGAGTTGCAAAAGATGTATTTCCCCTTGCCAAAGTCTCTTCAACTCCTCCAAACGGCTGGTATTGCAGGAGGAAAGCCACCTGATGAGGACTCAATAAATTGGAAGGTTTTTTTTCTTTAAAACCTGGGTGAGGAACCCAACGTGGGGCTTTGCACAGTAACAAGATCAGGGAAAATTCTCTTACATCAACATCCCATTCATGGCTTCAATGCAGAAGGGCAGTCGGTAGACTATTGCTGGACACTGATCTGTTAAACTGGAAAAATGTACACTCCACATACAGAGAAGACCCTCTGAAAGTGACCAAATTATTGACTGCCATCTTTGCTACATGTTCTTCTCAATGCAAATAAGTAAAGACTCTTTATGGACACAGCAAGAGGAGAGGTACAATGTCCCCAGGACGGGAGTCTCTAAGCAGAGTCTCAAACTACCATCACACCCTCAGAGCTTAGTGGACATACATGCAGATAGCGACAATGTAACAAAGACACTATGGGAGCTGTGTTCTGGCTAGGCTTGGCAACAGGGCCATGGGCTAACAGCAGGACAACTGGACAAACTACCAGGCTATCCTACTAAATCCTGCCACTCGGCTGCCCATCCAGGGAAACAAACTCCTTCATGATTGCCTGGAAACCTTGGAGACTGTTTGTTGAAGCAAAATGGCCCTGTGGGGCAGCCCCTGCCTAAAGCAAACCTGGACCTCTTCACCCACAGGAGCAACTTTGTGCAGCGTGGACAATGAAGTTTCAGGCGAGCAAGTGGTGGTCACAGCACGACAGGCACTAGCAGCAACAACACTGCCGCGCAGCGTGCCCACCAGGAAAGCTCCCCTGACGTCTCTGACAAGGGCTCTCTAATCAGCCAGCAGAGGAGAGAAGGCCAACACTGACACAGACTGCAAGCATGTGGGCAAGACTGGGCATGCTCACTGTGCTGTCTGGGAGGAAAGGGCACTCCCGACAACAGAATGTGGGCAATAGGTACACAGCTGAAATCCCATTTCTATGGCGGCAGTGCCACAGTGAGGACAGGTGGCAACAGGACACTGTCCTTGTCACCAGAAGATGCACGTGCACACTGCAAGTGGGAGCCAAGCTGCGCACCTGTCCACCAGAACAGCAGCTGAGGGAAAGGGTTCTCCTGGGGCCATGACACTCCAGCTTGATGGAGTCCTATCATTAAGCTGAGGAATATGGGAGAGGAGTGGAAGGGGATGTTGGCACTTGGGATGACACCCATAGATGGATGGAAACAGAATTCCCCCTGCCCATCCTTATTTCCAAGGTCCTGGCCCAAGCATTATGCAACCCAAGCATGGGAGTCCACATTGTGGGCCTGATACTCTCAGGAACTTTGTGGAACATTCATGAAAGGACCTCATCTTCATTGTTAGTGCACCCCCTAACTCAGAGTTGCCTTTATTTGTTCAGAACTACCAAAAAGCAAAGAAGTTGCCACCAATTGGGGTTTATAGGTTGCCACTACTTGGGCAATGCATAGTGTCCCTGCCCCAATTGATGACTGACAAGTGGACTATGCTGTAATGCCTAGGGAAGCTGGGAAATCCAAATATTCACCTATACTGACAAACTTGATTCTCCTATGCCAAATGATATTGGAGCTTCTCTCAGCCAAAACAACTTCCCAAGTAGCCAATGCCTTGCCTTCAAAATAGAAGTTCTGTATGTCTTAAAGGAATCAATCTTCTGAAAAAACAAAATGAATCTCACTTTGGAAAAAGTAGCCTCAACTACAATGTGTTGTCCTCCTCTAGGTAAGGGTAGACTCTAAAACAGCACATGAGAGACACTTCCTGATGCAAAGTTCAGCTGTTGCACTGAACTTCATTCTGGTGTTCTATGCCCCACACTCCCAATGGTCCCTTGGTGATGTGTCTGAGATCATTCCCAAAGCCAACAGGAACTTTCACACTTTATTACTAAGCCATGTCCACAACAATAGGCAAACGAAAGTGACCAGTGTATACCTAATGGACCACAGTCTGCCCTACAAACAAAAGGAACTCGCCTGGAAACTGCTCATTGGATGTAAACAGTTTGGTACTTAGTGCCATTGTCCAGGCATCTTCCGAGTCTGCGGCTCTTCAGGGAACCATGACATCCCCTCACTGCATGCTATGTACACAAAGCCAAGTCATTGCTTCTCTAGGCTTTCCTCTGGGCTACTCAATGGCACAAGGCCCTTCTTCTCAGGTATTCTGCATTTTGGCCTACAATCATCTTGCTAGTAAGGTGTCCTCGTCCGTGTACTGGATAGGAATCTCCTGTGTTGCCATTGAAAGTGAATCCACTGAAATGCCTTGGACACTCGGCAGGAGCCATGACAAATGCAGGTTCCAATCTTCCATTTCCAGGAGCCTCTCTTCTTCCCTGAGTCAGATGCATGTGGTTGGAATGAGCTGGCACCCCCATTCCACAGAGGTGGAGTAAGGGATCAACAGTGGGGAATTTGTAACCAGACCAAACACATTTTTCTTTCCATATTCAGTGAAAAACAAACAATTGATTGAGTCTATGGCCCAGTAAAGTATCTCTTCCAACAGATAAATAATGCTTGCTTGTGAATTCCAGGCACTGGCCTTGAGAAAGCTGGCTGAAGTTGCAAAGTGACCCTGCTTTTCCCTGGTCAGCATGACTGGGAGTTGAAGTTTATTGCAA